TGGGTGCTGGCCCAGCTGGGAGGTGACCAGGGAAGGCCTTGAAGCTGGCCCTGAAGCCGGTGCCCAAGTCCCCGGGCTCATGGAGTCAGGATGCAGGAGGCACGGGGCTAACAAGGTTTCTACACCACGTTTCCTTGACCAGACACCACATGCTGCGTGCCAGCAGGCAGGTGACAGGAGGGTGAGGCTTCTGTGTTTGCTGAACAGCTCTCCTGGAGTACAGCACACTGCAGGGAGACAGCGAGTGGCAGGCGCACGGCCCGTGCTGCGGCGCAGGCCAACCAGGATGACGCAGAGGACCCAGACACAACAGCCTGCTGCACGGAGCTGACCGCATTGGTCCTGAGCAACTGTGGGGGTCAACAGTTCAAGACTGCAGCTCACAGGAAGAGCCCAGGTCCAAGAGACAGGACTTGTGGGGAGGACACCAACACCCCGGTCATCATAATGGCTCATTTATTTACTTGTGTCACATGTATATCGAATATCTGCTTCGGTGACCCCAGTCCAAAGAAGAAAGTGGATACAATATTTGATCTCATTGGTGCTTATGTTGTAGTGGCAAGTCAGAAGCTGAATACACCATTATGTTCTCACTAACTGTAACAAGTCAAGGAACAGTGTGTTATGAAAGGCAAGAACAGAGGACCCTGCCGAAGCTGCACCAGGAACCGCCCTGGGAGGGGTGGCTGGGGCAAGAACCGGCTGGGACAGGGCAGCAGGAAGAGCACTTGGGGCAGAGAGCGGCCGTGGGAAAGTTCTGAGCAGACAAAGTGGGTGGCTGTGAAAAGCCGGAGAAGGCTGACACAGGTGGGGAACCTCGGTGGGGAAGAGACTTCTGAATTCTCCCTTCGTTGTGACAGGACGTCACTAGGAAGTTTAGACAGGCCTTAACGTAAGGTCGCCTGCTCGGTGGGAAACAGACCCGAGGGGGGCAAGAATGGGGGGCAAGTTCAGTCAGGAAGCTCCTGCAGGAATCGGTGGGGAGGGGGACGCGGCCTGTGACGGTGATGGGGCAGGTGGTGGCCTGATCCTCGCTGTGTCCCCAGATGGGATCAGTAGGGTTGGCTGATGGACTGGATGTGTGGGGAAGCACTCGGGGTGACGCAGGTTTGAGCCCGAGAAACTCAGGGAGTAGGGGTGACATTTGCTGGGAGAGGAGGGATGCCAGACGTGTGACTTCGTGTGGCAGCACAGTGGAGAGTTCAGGTGGGGACACCTGGAGCCTGAGATGTCTCCGACAGCCACAGACATGCGCACCTGGACAGGGTGTGCATCACGTCCTACCACTGGGGTGGGTGGGACCACCAGGCAGAGTCCAGGTGTGATAAACCGTGTCCTGAGGTAAGACCCAGAGAACAGTGGGAAAATGGAGTGGAGGCTAAAGATGGGGTGACTGGAGACAGAGGAAGCTGCTGACCACCTGGGATGGTGGTGAAAAGGCAGCACCTCCCAAAGTGGCTCTGGCTTTGGGACCGTGGAATCACAAACAGCAGAACAGTTTCAGGCTGGAGAGGACCGGCCTGGAAGGCAGGGGACAGGCAGCAGTGGTGGAGTCAGACCCTCACCCACGGGCTCTGCAGGAGGAGCAGAGACACAGACAGGAGCTGGCTCCCGAAGGCGGAGTGAGCAATGACGTCCTCCAGTCTTGCCCAGGCCAAAGGTCTTCAAATGCAGCCCGTGGAGAGTCCCTTCCCGCCCTAGAAACACGTGGAAGGCCCTCTGCTTCATCCCGACAGAGAGCCCCACTCCTTGGTCACACCTCACTCAGGAAACCCCTCATGACAGTGTTGGGCAGTGTTCTTTCACACGCGGGACTGGCAGCTAGCAGACCACAGCAACCTTCGTGCAGCATGAGCTTCTGCTAATATGAGTCTCTGTTGGAAAGCTCCTGGTACCCGAGGGGCTGGGAGAAGGCAGGGAGCCTCCCAGCACCCTCTGTCTGCTCAACAGCTGGCCGCCACCTTCTCTTCCAGGCCCTCCCTGCAGACCCTACCTACCTGGCACACTCCGCCTGCCTGCCTCCCCCCCAGCTTCCTCCTACCCCAGTGAGGACACCAGCCGCTCGTCATGGGGCGGGGGAGTGAGGCTCCTGTGGCTTCCCTCGGTCTTGTGGTGCCTGTGTCCCAGAAGCACCTGGTAAGTGTGTGTCCACTGATGGCACCTGTCCTGCCTGAGGGTGCCAACTTGTGTCGGTCTGCTTAAGGACACACTGATGGACTCCAGCAGGCCCAGGTAGGAGGAGAGCAGGTGCCTGGGGCATCTACCAGCCTGTCTTCTGTACAGTCATTCAAGAAAGTGCCAAGTCACTTGAGTTCAGGTTCAATTTAAGCCACGGTGGCCACCAACTATTCCAAAGGCTCTTTTACCAGCCTCCCTCTTGTTGGAAATTTAGACCATAAGAGCTCCTGTCTTCCACTAACCTTGTAAACAGAGGTTGCTTGCCATTTTAAGCTGTGGGTATCCTCTGGCAAAATCCTTTTCAAAATATTAAAAAGGCAGGTTTCTCACCCAAACCTTTCACCACGTCATGCTTCAGGGTCAGAACAGTACAAGGAGTGAAAATGTGGCCTGCAGTGTCCCCCCCCCACCGACCCAAGGCACTGGCTACAGTGAACATAATAACTAACACATCACCACAACTCTCATGCAATATGAGTTTCTATTAAAAAGTTTCCATTGGCCCAAGTTTTCAGGGAATAAACATTTTGTGGAAATTGGTTCAATAAAGTCTGGGCTCCTCAGTGGCCTTAAATACCCTCAATAACTGCAGCCATGAAGAGACAGGAGGGCCCCGGGCACAGATCTAAAACACAGTTTAGTATTCTTGGGGCCTATTTTTGTTCCCCTGCACAAACAACATGAAAATCAGGAATCTTAAAATATCAAAAGTTGCAGTTAAAAATCCAAAACTCTCTTCTCAAACCCCAAATGCAAGAATTCAGTGATGAAAGGTCAGAGAACATGCTGTCTCTGATTTACACCGTGAAAACTGGTTCCAGTGTGAACTCACCCTCCTCTAGATTCAAGAGGAAGAATACATTGCCCATTTTCTGGAGTTATTTATTTATATATTTACTTTAACTTATAAGAGATGTGAGGCCACAGACAGCCCCACTGTGCAGCCTTGGGAAAAGTGTGGCTGCTTCTGCTCAGTCTCTCCTGGCCTCCTCCCGCTCCAGGCTGCGGGGGAGG